CATCCATTGGTCCGTTAAGAGTTAACGTGTTAGTAGTGGACCCCATTACACGTCAGCCCACTCCCTCCAAAACTTGGACACGTAGATATCCATATGCCACGTCATGCTAACTCAGCAAAAAATGCCACGTGGCCAAAATTTCAAATTTCTCGCCTTTTTTTTTAATTCCTATTTCTTTATGGGTTTTGGCGACTAAATTATGAACAATTGCATCAGATGCAATCCAAAATGCAGAAATGCATGTTCCCACATAATTGAACCTGGTAATCAATAAATAGGCAAAAAGGCATTCCAATATCCAAATAGGGAACTAAATTAGCAGTATATTTCACAAGAGTTCAATTGAAAATAACAAGCATGTTCCATATATTGGCAACCAAAGATAACATCTAGGAGTTCAGCTGGAAATAACAATTCCTAACCCTAACAAGCTAGCATGTTCCCAAAAGGATATCCAACCACTAGAAAAATAACAGTTCCTAATAAGCTACAAATCCAATTGGGAAAAAAAAATAGTTCCTAGCTAAGCAAAAAAAAAAAAAAAAAACAGTTCCTAGCTGTTGCCAATATTCACAAAAATTCCAGCCACTAGCAAAAAATTCCAACATAAAAAAACCCATTTTCTTCTTGTATGGCAACATTTTTCACTTTCTTGGTTGCCTTGTCTTTCTCTTCTTCACTCCTCCATCTGTTTAAACCTCTGAATTACCTCCTCTAGTTGTGCTTGATGCCTACATCCAATGTTCAATACAACAATATCCAAATCAACAACAATATAGGCCACAAGTTATCATAAAAAAATATCCACATCCAACACATACAAAAGAATCCCTAAGTTATCACAATATAGGCCACAAATTCATTTACAAACCCTAACTCAATAAAACAAGTGGAACAGTTCTTACCTGTGTTTCCTTCCTCTTTTCCTTGATACATCACCTGGGTTACTAAGATGGTCCATGTGCAGAACTTGATGCCTAAAACAAATGAAAGGATTTCAGGATTAACAAAGTCTTAAATCAACTTAGAAATCATATAACTTTGTAAAAGGTTATATTTTACCTCTTGTCTTGTAGGAAGATGCCTGTGATGAGTCCTGGTATTGTATCCCCATAGCAACCAACAATTGACCCCCATACTGAGAATTCAAATGACAACCATCTAAACCAATCAAGGGTCTGCAACTATGCTTGAAACCTTCCTTGCATGCACCCAAACACACATATATCCTTTGAAACCTTCCTTCTTCCAACTTAATCTTCACAGTGCTCCCCGGGTTTGTCTTATTGATTTCCTCAGCAAAATCCCACAATCTTGTGTATTGGTCATCATGTTTACCCTCAATAATCTTCATAGCAGCAATCATTGCCCTATAAGCTTTCATATTCGAGCTCCGTGCTTCCATTGAGCTTCAATGGTGCCCATAAAAGAATCAATAGGCCATGTTGGATTAAGTTGGATCATTTCCAAGTACTGCTTAGTAAGCCAAGACTGTTTCATATTCCTATTCACCCATAATCTACCACATTTGTGATGATCCAAAATCTTCTTGATCTGCATGTTGTTTGAATTACACAACTTCCTACACTTGACAAACCAAGGACAACCTTCTTTGCAAGCTGCATCAACCTTAAACTTCTCATTTCGTGGAAAATGGACATCCTCATAACCATTTATCACAAAGCGCATAACTACTGCCTTTCTGAACTGTGTAACATCCTTAATATCAACCCTAATGACAATTGTGGGTTCTTCATGTCAGTCTTCTCATTAAATTCATGATACTGCCCACTGTTGCTTCGGCCACCGTCTTCATCTTCATGCACACTGTGAAAGACATTCGAATTGTAATATGGCTCACCAACAACATGTACATCAATTTCTTCTTCAAATCCTTCACTTTGTTGCTGAGATCCCTCCCCTGATTGTGGGTTATTTTGTTCCCTAATGCCAGCCAACACTGCATCCTCCTTTGCATCCACATTATCTACAAACTTCATAAACTCTAACTGATCATCATCAGTAGGAAATTCTTCTTCTATAAAGTCACTGTCATTCTTATCTTTTTCTTCAACTCTTTCATCACCCACATCAGCCAATCCTTCATTTTCCACCCTTTCATCAGCCACTCCTTCATCCTCCACCCCTTCATCAGCCACTTTTTCATCAGCCACCTTTTCATCAGCCACTCCTTCACCCACTATGCCATCACCCACTCCTTCATCAGCCACAAAATCATCACCAACTACTTCATCAACAACCCCACTTAGTGGATCTTTAGCCACTACTTTAAAAGTTTGAGTCACACATTGAGAAAGCACACTACAATCACCACCAAGGCCACTGATTAGATATTCTATGGCTAGCTTGGCCTTTCCTCTATTCACTTGCACTGGCCTCCTTACTTGCATTGACCTTTCCTCTATAAACTTGCATTGGTCATCTTCATCAATTTCTTCAATAACCATACTATTCTGAGCAATCGATTCAAATAACTTGATAAACTTCATCTCTTGATAGACGCATTCTTCAGGTGTTATCTTCTTAATATACACATCAATCATAGTGTGATTTGACACAAATTTGCACATGTTGATAACATCGGAATCTGTCATGAAAGGCTTCAATCCATTTTGAATTTCTATCCCTAGGATCCTATACTGGTAACTCATGAAGACATTTCCATATCCCAGTTCCTTAACCATATTGTCAACCTCGAGCAATGACATGAAATCATTGTCACAGAAGTCAAAGAAATCCACCTTCCCTCCAACGTAGAAGTCTTCACTGAGTTCTCCATCGTGACAAATTTTGATTGTGAATAGTTCATTGTTCCCTGAAATTGCAACATAAAAAACCGTATTATAAACTGATGAAACCCAAATTTCTGCATAAAAAATCCTATTTTAAAGTGACGAAATCCAAAATTCAGGACCCAGGACCACAAAACAATTCACAGATAAAGGCACACTACAAATGACAATGTGGTGTCCCAAATAAAGGCACAACTAAAGGCACAAATAAAGGCATAAATAAAGCATAATACACAAAAGGCACAAATAAAGGTATAAGCAAAGCACTGTCAAACATAAATAACCCATAAGCTTTTTTCCAACATGATTAAACAAAGACAAAACTCCTTCATTAACCGACAAAACTAACAATTTTTAGTTCCCCACCATTTTCAAACAAAGAAATTTAAAAATAGGAAATATAGATCCAAATTTACAAAGTACAAACAATTTCAGGTCCCCACCATTTTGTAACACTCCAACCATTTTTGAACAGTCCAAGCATGATCGAATAACACAAAATAAAGAAACCAAAACACACTAACCATATGTTGGGAATGGATCCAATGGATCCTCCCTCATTTCCCAAGTCATTTTCAGCCTTCGAATCCTTCACTTCGAAGCACCAGATTATCACTGCAATTGGGGGTTGGTTGTGGGTTGTTGATTGTGGGTTGCAGGTCGTGGGTTGTTATAGGTAGTGGGTACGACGGCGATAAGGAATCGACGACTAGAGAGTGATGGACATAGAGTTTCGAGACAGGGTTTCGCGACGGAAGTAGGGTTTCACTGGTGGGGCTAGGGTTACCAGAACTTCAAGCTTCTCGATTTTGGGTTTGGGAATAGTGTGCTCGATGATAGTGGGGTTGTGTTGGTTGATGAGAATAGTGGGTTAGAGATTCAATAAATTTTTAATTTTTAAATTTGCCATGTTGTCAATCTACATGGCTCCACGTGGACTATTAAATTCTACATGTGCAAGTTTTGGCAGGGGAACTGGCCCACGTGGTAGGGTCCACGACTGCCACGTTAGCTCTTAACGGACCAATGGATGAAAAATGTAATGGATGTATTATATTAAAATAAAATAGTACGTGAGGTATGAAAGTGAAATTTTTGAAGATGTTGTATGAGGTTGCAATAGACCTCAAATCTAAGGTGGTAAGTATAATTTACCCTAATATTTTAATATGAACTGCCGGGCAATTTAGTTTAGGGGTAGAGATAGACTTGGACAATTACAGTTTACTTGGGGGATTGAATTGCCTATTGCCCAAGGGGATTTTTATGGGTGGAATTGCTCTTAAATGAAGCAAGGTGGTTGTTTTGATTGAAGGGTAAGACTTGGGAGACTAAATTTGTAGATTAAATTTGCAAACTAAATTATTTGTCACCAATAAGAATTAAGCACGTTAATCAATGCTTAAATAATAATTCAATTATCAACTTCCATGTCATTTAGTTTACAAAAGTTAGTCTCTCTAGCATTACCATTTGATTGAAAAACCAAGGAGTCGTCTGTGATTAAGATATATGTGCCAATTTAAAGATGGGATGACCATCAAATGTGTTATAATGGTGCCAATTGGATAAGATAATTTTCTGTCAAGTTTTATTCAGCAAAGAGTGTTCCACGTGAAACAAATGCAGACTTGAGTCCTAAAATTCAAAACTGTAGACAATGAAAAATAACTTTCAACATAACACACAAAATCAACGCTCTGCGCAAAAACCTTTCACACTTTTGAGAAAAAACGCTAACTACTTACTAACCACCAACACAAATTCAGTCTAGTTATATAGGTTTGGGTTGGCAACTGATAAACAACGACTGCCTGGTTAGACGGCGTTTCTAGAAAAAACCAGCAAAGGCGATTGCCTGGTTAAACAACGCTGGAGCTGAAGAATTAGTTTGGCTTAAGAAGTCTCAGTCGACTGGTTAGACGGCGAGTTTTTCTAGTTTGACTGATCAACTATCCCAAGCCTCCCTCGACGAAAAGCTTTTGATCGAAAGAGGTCACTTCATCAGCTTTCTTAGTGAAGTGGAGTGTTTTATGATTGGATATTCCCAAATCAAGTTTAAAGTTCGGCATTCAGACAGTCGAACCACTTTTACAGTAAAGACACTCATTTCCTTCGAGTATCTTTGTCACTACAGTTCAATACCAGTTTGGTGAACTTATATTCTCATCAATATAGTTGAGGCTGATGAACTCGGTGCACAAGATTAAGAACTTCATAGTGATTTTGCACAATGTTAAGCCGGTCATCAGTGAAGCTTTGGGTGGAACCATTAGAGCCATCAATGGTGCGCTTGAATGCGATGATGGAGATCCTGCTACAGTTCAGAGTCGTGTTGAGTATTACACAGGATATTGTAACCAACTTGGTGTTGCTCTTGGTGACAATCTCACATGCTAGTTACTATATAATAGCTTAACTAGGAGCCTAGGATCATTTTCCTCCTTATTTATTTAAGAAGTGTGCTACATCATCACATGCCCAATTTGTAATGAATATGAGGAGACTGTGGAGCACATGCTCCTTACGTGCCCATAGGTGGAGCCGGTTTGGTTTAGTGGTCCGTTTGGCTACAAGATCGATAGATGTTCAGTGACAAATATCAATGCTTGGTTGATGGAAATGCTAAAAGTGAATTATGCAACAAAAGAGGATAGGAAGAGATCTATAACATTAATGGCTTTCACGTGTTGGCATATATGGAAAGCTCAGTGTAAAGCTGTTTTTAATCATCAAAATCCATCTCCTCCTCAAACCATTCATGTTATCACTTGTGCCAGTACGACTTTCCGAAAGGCAAAGGAATTGATAAGTGTCCAGCCATCTCCGAGTATGGAAAATCAAAGGAGAATGATACCCTGGTCTCCTCCCCCTTCACAAATGATAAAAGTGAATGTTGATGCAAGTTGGAAACTCAAGAGTAATGAAGGATATTTGGGCATTGTGATTAGAGACTCACAAGGAAGATGCAAGAGCATGGAAAGGAAGAAAGTCCATGCTTCGAATGCTTTGATGGCAGAGGCTAAGGCCGTGCTTCAAGGTTGTCTAAGTGCAAGGCAAAGGAATTACCCCTGCATAATTGTGGAGTTTGATTCAAGGCAGGTAATTTCGGCTCTTAATGAAGGAAAGGAAAATTGTAGCTGGGAAAATTTTCCCAATGACATGCGTATTGTAGATGTTGAGAAATCTTTCCAGATTTGTAAATGGTCTTGGGTGCCAAGATCAGCGAATGAAGCATCAAATTTCATCGCAACCTATGTGGGTACAGAGATGAGCGAGGAATGTAGGATGGACAGACCACCATCTTCGTTGGTTAGAATCTTAAACAAGGATGGATCGCCATGTCCTCCTTCTTAAGTGGTTTTTTGGAGTGGGGAATGACGCTTGGTTTGTTGTATTGGCGTCTACTTGTATTCGCTACTTCTTTTTGTTTTGTTAATCCTGTTAGCCTTGTCTGGCTTTCTTGATGTATTTTGGCTGTTGTTGTGTTATGGAATATATTTCCAGTTTCTACCAAAAAATAAATAATAAATATTTACGAACGATGTGAATAAAAGAAAAAGCGAATTATAATTTATAGATGAGAACTCATTTGATTTTAGAGGCGTTTTCATATAGGTGTTTCAATTTTGAATTTTTTATATCAAACATCTCTAGCTTTTAGGCTTTTGATCAAACATTCTTTTATTAATTTTTAACATTTCATTTATATAATTATTATAAAACTCTAAAAACCATGTAGTCTTATCTTATCTTATTCTATAATATTTTGTTTCATAAAATCCTTTTATTACTCAAATCAAAAAGTTTTTTTTTTCTTTTTTTTTTTGAAAATGGATTCTAAAACTACATCGTATTAACATACGAGACATTGAGACCTGTGGTATATGTATGCAATATAAATTAAACATGACGTACCAATGGTACATTATGTAATTCTAATTTGGGTACGTATTAGTATTTTGATACATTATTTAGTACGTTAAGTACTTCTTGATATGATACGTACCAAACTACTGGTACATTTTATTATCCTTATTTTATTACGTATGAAGCTAATGGTACATTATGTATAACCCTAAAATAACATCATTTTTTACAATAAATTTGTACTACAAACATATTTTTTTTTTTCAATGCTTAATTACAAAATAAATAAATAATTAAAGAGTTTTCTTAGTTCACGTTGCCAGCCATAAATTGTTAGAAAGATCAATTTATTTCAATTCACATGAATTTTGGGAACTCTCTCGATTTTAATAATAAAAAAACCTGTTATTTTCTTAAAAATTTGTGAAAAATCAACGAATGAGAATCAATAATAACGTACCAGTAATTTATACAAAATAATTCTCTCAATAAAATGTGTACATAATAATTTTAAAAATATTATAAACATCTTTCTCATCTTGAAGATAGGATTATATTTTAATTTTAGGAGAAAAAAAAATTCATGTAGGAAAAATATAGAAAATAGATAATTAGATAAATATTTTGAATAAAAAACCATGATTATCTCTTAAAAAAGGAGTCCATAACTTCTTAAAAACTTAAAAAATTATCAAAAAATTGCAATAATAATTTCGAAAATTATAATAATAATTTTAATTTGATAAATAGAGAAATGCTGAAGTGGCTTAATGTACCTAAGTTGACACACCCCGACCCGGAATGTCTACTAAGACTCCGAATTGAGCTGTGCTGACCGACATCTGGAAGGTAACGAAGCCATAAAGTATAGTGATATGGAAAAATGTGAATAAATTTAAACCTAATAATGTCTAAAGACAAGAGTGCGTTGTGAGCGGGAATGAACCAATTTCACACGCGACGTCAGAGCATAAGTAAAGTACAGTAGTGTTGGTAAGGATCATACCCTCAGAGGTAGCCACCTATGCTGAGATTCACCAAGAATCCTTGTCGATACGAACTTTCAACAACTAAAACCTGGAGGGGCGAAAAACAGAAAACGTGAGTGGGCAAAAACAAAGCTTTTTGAAACCATTTCTCTTTCCAAAAATAATATGTAAAATGATATGTCAGCAAATAATATGTAAGCCAGGTGCTGTGAATCAATATAAAATGATATGTCAGTCGGAGTCACCTAACGTGACCTGTACAGCTGAACCTATAGCTCATAAACCAATTCCTGCACATGAGTCGGAACCACCTATTGTGGTCTGTACGACAAGGCTGGGTGTAAATAAGTACGCTCAAGTACTACGATCACGTGAAGGCTGTGCGATAAATCGCGGTCACTTATGAGTCGAAACCACCTATTGTGGTTTGTACGACAGGGCTGTGCACCAAACTTGGATCCAAGATGAGCGTGCGGTGCGGGAGGTGAACATCACATGAAGGACTGTGCCCTGGCCACGGGTGGAAGCACTAACATCGGGGTACATGATAATGAGCTCTAAATGCATCTACGTATAACCATACACAATGCAACCACCATCATCATAATGTACTCACCTGAAGCTTACCTGGGCTTCCGCAGCATCATTCAATAGTATGCAAAACTATCCTAATGCAAATACTAAAATATAATATATCCTTGACATGGCATTTAAATCATAGATTATTTAAAACAGTTTATGGAAATCATTAAGCATATATATATATAAAACAAAAGCCCACTAACTTGGAGTTCGCGCTACCACTCCCTAACACAAATATCGAGGCGTCATGAACGATCGGTGCCTAGAACAATTATCAAACCACATCTCAGAATCCTTATTGATAGAACATGTAACTTACATAAAACACATCCCCAAAGACGTTCTAGAATGATTTGAGACCCATTGACCAAAAGTCAACTGTCGGTCAAAGATCGACAGTAGGGTCCACAACCCTACGCAACTCGATCCAGAAGATCTGCATCTCAGATTTCAGATCCGTAACTTCCAAATATCCACATTATGCTTCTAAAACATCATACTAAAGTTTCATTACGATCCAACAGTTAGATCTCCGCCAATTGCCAAAACTAAATGGTGGTTAACGTTTTATTTTATGAACTTACAAATCCAATTTGGGAAGATCCGTAAGTTCCTATGGTCCTCAAATATCACGTACTATATTGTATTAAAGTTTGGTGACAATCCAACGGTCGAATCATTGATTGCTATAATAATCAAGTGATGCGCCATAATGAAACTAGGTTCACAATAATCAAATCACATATACGGATATCAAATCTGAGATCAATATATCAATTTGGCGTAAAATAGCATCAGTGGCCCACTGGCCACGCGCCGCCGCCGGTAGCGGTCAGCCACCCCGACTCGACGGAAAATTCAACTATTTCTAAAAATGATCAAACTTCACAGAAATGAAGATCTCAGTGAGTAGAGCAACTTTCAAACCTGTGACTAAGGCTAATTTGGCCGAGAAAAGCCCCAATTTCATGAAAATCCGTCGAAGCCCTAGATTTGGGTGTGTTTGATTTGACCTCCAAACTCACTCCAACGCCTGAAACATTGCTTGGGCTTTATTCCTGGGGTTGAGGGGAACTTATTGGTGGTGGTAGTTGGATGAAAACATTTCAGGATTTGAGGAATTTACACACGATCCCTTCGCACCCATGTTGCAGGTTTAACTATTTTTAAGGCTAGATTCCATCAAATTTGGGGTGGAATGGAAAGAGGGAAGGTCTTAGAGTGTTTCCTAAGTGGTTAGGTGGTTTGATTCGTCGGAAAATTGATGGAAAAACCTCAGAAAAGGGTTAAACGGGACGGGTCTGACAGGTTTTGTGGGTCGGCTCCCCCTTTTGTTCTTTTTCTCCTTCCCTCCTTTCTCTCCTTCCTCTTGTCTCTCATTGGTCACTTCCCTCTCTCTCTCCCTCCCTAGGGGTGGGTTGGAAAAACCGAAAACCGAAAAAAATCGACAACCGAATCGAACCGAGGCTGAAAAAAATAGAACTGAAAAAAAAACCGAATCAAAATATGAAAATCAAATATAAATACTCAAAACCTGCTGGAGTGAAGATTCGAACCCTTTCCGTCCAGGTTAGGGATAGCTCCTCCAAACCAACTTGATTGTAGGCTTTGTGTTGCTATAATTGTACCAGTATATTATTTATAGGTATTATAATCTTAATGTTTTATAAAATTTCTAAAGTTTACAAACCCTAGCCGTCACTCCTTTTCAGTCACACATACACACACACACACACACACACACTCCCTCTCTCTCATCCGCTGCTCTTCCTCTCTGCTTCCTCAGTCTCTCTCCCTCATTCTTCTCTTCCTCCCTTCAACTCTCATTCCTCTCTTCCTCTCTCTAACCTGCCAAGTGTATGGTTGTAACATGGATCTTACTTTTTTAAAGGATTACCACAAGAGGCGTAGGGTTTGTGATGGATTTATTTGACAATCCCCATTTTTTCCCTCTCCAAATCTTACACCTCTTGTATCTCTGCTCCTCGTTTGATAGACTCTCTCTGTGGACTCTCACCTACAACAACAACAACTTCTTCACTCATTTCTAATATTCCTTGCTTTCTCCATAAACTTTCGATCTCTGCTTTTCAAATACAAGCCAAATAGTTTTTTACTCTGGGATTCATATGGAGGTCGCACCAGACATCCATCTTTGTTCCTCCGGATTTCTTTAACAGTAAGTATTCAATTTCTTCCTTTTTTTTTTCTTTCTTGTTTAATTCTTTGAGTGCTGAAAATGGCAGTTTTTATTTTTATTTTTATGCATTGATTAATAGTTTTTATTTCATTGGTTTGTTGACTATGCTATGTGAATTTATTTGTTGACTATGCTTTGTGAATTTTTGAAGAAAAATTGGCTGATGTTGTTCTTGGATTTGTCTTTGATGAGCCCTATGTGGTAAAGATCTTTGGTTTTTGGATCTTTACTCTTTATTAAAACCTTGGATCTCATATGTTTGGCTGTGTTCGGACAGGTGCTCGTGGCTGAACGTTACAATCGGCGAGGCGTCGATTGGTTGGTGGCGAGGGTTTGTGCTAGTAGGGATGCTCGACGGCAGGTGCTGCAGTAGAAGCCTAGGTTTTCTTTTGTTGTATTTTATGGCTTGGGCCTTTACTATTTGTTGGATCTATTGGGCTTGACACGCCCCGATCCAAATATTCCCCAAATACCAGGATAAGCACGTGTTGGTCGACACCCGAGGGTGACGAAAGCAATTTATTGAGTGCAAAAGTTGAAAACAAGAGATAGATAAGACATATAAATATAAGAGGATAAATAATGTGCATTTAAGGAACGTGTTCAGAGCATACAACTAACTAGAACACTAAAAGAATAATATAAAATTGAATGAATAAAAGAATGGGTCATACACCAAGAAGACTCGAAAATGCCGATGCGGAATTGTTTGGATG